TGGTTTGGAACCCCCCCCCCCCCCCCCCCCCTCAAAACATGGGGAGAAAACCCTACGGGTCCATAAGAACAGAACAGAAGAATCGTTTCATCTATAAAAATCATTTTAAATTATATCGTTGTAGACAAGAGTCGACGAGTATAGATGGAGGTCCACCTATAGATTGTATAGCATAGCACCAGCAGTTTCGTTTTATACATCGCCCCTCATTGGAATGCAGTCCAGCAAGCGCTCTATAACACTTATGTACATTACAGTACAGTACAGTGCAGGGGAGTGCAGGACAGTACAGTGCACGGGATCCCGGAAACGACTCACCTTGAGGATGTTCATGGCCTCGCTGTGCGTCAAGCCCTTCAGTCCTCGTCCGTTGATGGACAATATCCTGTCGCCACGCTGGACACGCCCGTCTCGGTCCGCCACGCTGCCCGAGATGACCCTGTGGATCTGCCATGTGCATGTGGGCCAAACAAAGAAACCAACAAACAAAAGCCGTCTTTATTGCGTGCATGCAATACTTGAAGCAGCAGCACAGAGCTGAAATGGCTACGACCCCTTTCGCACCTTATGACTTGATCCTCTAGGAATAATAATATTGTTATACAGTAATGCACAGTGTTTGACTACTGCTAGACAATAAAACTCGGTCCACGCTTATACATATGCGTGTATAGCTACTACATTGTATATACTGTACCTGTAGTTCACTACCTAACCTCGAGATCGACCGACGAGCACGGCCTAAGCATCACAGACACACGAGATAATCCCCTCACGCAGTTCAAAATCAATTTTCAATCTGCCTTCGAAAATATGATACACTATTGCATACCGTACTTTTAACTGTGGGAAAAACTAAATGCAGGGTAAAGGGATCCCGAATCTTTCAACCGATTATAGCTCAGTTTTCTCACGTCTTGAACATTCAAGTGATGCTGCAATCATTAGATGCAGTCTCTTTTTTTCCCCGCCTTTTAGGCCCGAGGCCAGCGATTAACTCTCTGGGGAAGTGAGACATGACCTCTATCTCCCAGCTGTTCTACAAATTATCCAGCGTCGTTCAGCAAATATTTTGCAAGCCTTTTATTTTGTATTCACGTGGCATGTAGCAGCACCACAGAAAATAAATTTTAAAAACTCTGAAAATTAAAGGCAGATCTTGGCGGGAATGAACAACTACCATAATCCATGAGGTGAAAATTTATTTCATTAAGGAGGAAAAACGCTAAATTTCTAAACATTTCATTTGCGAGCCATGCAAATGCTTCAATGAAGTGAAGAATTTGCATGGCTTCATTTCATTCGTCACATTCATCGCCTCCCACGGAGTGTCGTTGGATATCTGAATAAAATTAGCGTCAGCATAACTCGAAAATAACTTCGTAGTGGAGAAATTATGAAAGTTTTCACGGTGGCCCTTCGCAATAATGCAATGCCATGAAGAGATTGTTCCCATCGACTCACTATAAAAATGGTTCTCTCGCGCAAAATAAGCCTCCATCCAATTTCTCAACTATACGACGATTGTAAAGTCGCAGCTTCAGTTTCATTTACGAACATTCAACTACATATTTATCACCATCACTACCTCAATTCTGAGATGCGGAACAAAACCACTGAAAAAATAATGATAAAGCGAGAAAAAAATTAAAAAGAAAAGAGAGAGAGAGAGAGATAAAAAGATGGATAGACGATCGCGAGGTCGGAAGGACCTGAGAGCGAGATGAGAAAAGTACCGTGATGTCCTTGGTGTCATAATCGGCTCCCCCGGCCAGCGTGATGCCCACCGAACCCGCCGTCGGGTACTCGCGGTGCAGCACCACGACCAGGATCTCGTGCGACGGAGTGCCCGACCCGTCGCCGGCGTCCGCGTCCTCCATCAACTGCTGCAGCTCCTGTTTGAGTCAATCAATCAATGAATACATCAGTTATTCATCCAGCTAGAAATTCACTGCGATGTTCCGTACACTGCACTTACACACTTCTGTTTATTTATTCAATTATTTTCGTCGGGAAGTACAGTACAAATGGCACTCGAAACTCGATAATACGTACTAGTAATAAGCAGGGATTCAATCTCGATTCAGCAGCTGCCAGCATTTTCCACCGCGAAACGTAAATAGTTTCTTTCACTGCATATTACCGTATTAACTCGCATATATGGTTCGCAAAATTTGGATGATAAATGAAAAATTGATTCAGTCGTAATGTTTTGAACTACACGCAAAAAATGTTCATTGGAATTTCTCAATTTCCGGGTTCGTCGAGCCAAACCATACGCCCCTCATCAAGAGTCTCCGCGTTCATTTCATTATTCTTTTTTTAAATAAAATTTTATTACGCACGGGGCAAGGAAATGGACGTGAAACGATGAAAATGCTTCTTGCCTTCAAGGCCTCGATTTCTCGCATTCTTTCACTTGAAAATAAAATAATACTGCATTTCATTTAATTCAGAATATCACGCCAGTCATCTCGAAATGCGCGTCGATTGTCTTTGAATTCGAAGGAAATATCATCATGACGAATTGATCTTTTTCGTTTAGCTCTACGATTTTTCCAGCAAATGCACCCTGTAGTACTGTGAACAACGATCAGTGAAACGAATTCAAGCGTGTTCACAAAAACTACTGAAATTGCTGCGACAGACCAAAGCAGGACTTGCCCAATGTTTTTTTTTCCGATCAACCGACATAAATCCTCATAGAGCAATATCTAGATTGAGGACCTCAGAAGTACCAGCGAACAAAATTCCCCCAGAATTTCTTGAAACATATTATATACGCCAGATTCATCTGTCATACAGGTGAGTTTCAGAAGCATTGCTGCAGTTACCAGCAAAAAATATAAATATTGATCATAAAAATCAAGTGCTTCATTCCAACTTGGTGAAAGTAAACGATCTCTTTTCCAGGTAAAAAAAAAATGAGAGAGAAAAATGTGTTGCATGATCTCAATGCTGTTTTCGTGTAAGTGATGAAGCGTAATCGGAAGGAAACCCGGCTCATTCACACATCAATGAAATCTCTTCTGGTACTGGTACTTAATTTCTAAACTTCGGTCATGAAAACTGCCGTGCCCAGAAAATGATACGCATGTAATCTCCGCAGGAGTATACGGTGGAATGCTGACCTGAGGTGAAATCAAACTCGTCGTGGAAGCCAGGGAGGTGACACTCCCACCAAAATCTCTCATCCCAGAACCCGTCAACCCCACGTAGCTCGAGAACCCGGGAGTGTACGCCTGAATACTCCCCTCTTCGCTGGTTGACGAGTCTACTGAACTGCCCCTGAAATCAAAAGAATTGCAGTCAAGTTGAATCAAGACAATCCAAATTAACAAACACGTCATGCTATAGGAATAAATAACGCCTGGATTTCGAGGTTCTGACACGCATCCCTGTCATCGAAGAGAGGCGTAATTCTCGAGTAGATTATTCATCAATTCCTCCTGGACTTCATAACAAAAAATATAATGATGATAATTCCTTTACGAAATACAGATGATTAGAGAGGGACCTTCACATTCGTGCCTCGGCGTACCCAATTGGACCTCGATGAAAAAATACATTCATCATAAAGCACTGCCTTGTCCGTCCACGAATGAGGATGACACGAAATCATACCATAAAACCGATATTTAATTTTTTTTTTAAATAAAAATTAGTCTGAAAACGCGCGAGAGGTCAGCTAGTGACCTCATGAATCATGAAGCGGGGCTTTCTTCAGAGCATTCTTCAAGAAGATTCATACAGTTGAGTAGGCGTGCCTTATTGTTACCGAGGAGTGTCCCGTCGCCAATGACGATGAGACACCATAATGAAATAAAGAAAGAACAAAAACAAAAAAGAAAAAGAAAAAAAGAAAGCGCGGATTACAGCCAATGACTAAAGCAGTAGACAGACAGGGACACGCATGAGGCTGCACCAGATCTCACTCACTCACCTGTTATTATCGAGTGCCGCAGACAGCAGGGGCTGGCCCAGCAAGGACGAACCCCCGGCCCCCATGAGCAGCAACTCCTGGCTGCTGCTGCTCCGACTGCCCAGACTCTCCGCCTCGGCCTCCACCTCGCCGTCCAGCACGTCTTGCTGCTCACACAACTCGGACGCCTCACTCGGCGCCATGCTGGACGAGAAGTAGTCGAACATGGGTTCCCCGAAGCCCTGCGGCGTCTCGGGCCCGAGCTGCATGAGGAACCCGTCGACCGACGCCTTATTATTATTATTATTATTCTCGACCGAGCCCTGGCGAGACATGCTCAACTGATGATGATGATGATGGTGGTGGTGTTGGTGGTGGTGATGCGACGACGACGAAAGCATGGACAGAGGAGGTGGTGGTGGTGGTGGTGCTGGTGGCAGTGGCGGCGGGGCTTTGAAGTCGGGCGACACCGGCGACGCCTTCGTCGGGCTCGGCAAACTGCCCTGGGACATCTGCTCCCACTTTTGGGCCAGCGCCTTCACTGGAGCTCGATTGTTGTTGTTGTTTTTGTTGGTGGTGGTGGTGGAAGTGGTGGTTCCTGCTTCCGTGGCGCCGGTGGTAATGTTGATGCTGCTGTTGCTGCTAATGGAGGAGGAGAAACACCGGTGATGGTCCGAGTCCTTTTGCGGACTGAGACTGGCCGATTTGAGGCGCGACATGAGCAGGTCCTTGGGGCGCTGCTTGCCGAAGCTCTCTCCGATGACGGTCACGTCCGAGGAACTGCTGTATTTGCGCTGCAACTCGTTCCACTTGTCGCCGTCGGTCTTGTTCACGTCGGCGGCGTTGATGGCGGTGGTGCTGGCGGCTGCTGAGGCATTCGTGACAGACGCCATGGTGTCTCGCTCCACCTTGAGCAGGTTCTTCTCGGACGCGAACTTCTTGATCTCCTTCTGGTGATGAGGAAGCGTGGGAGTAGGACCCACAACAACGGACGTCCGCAACTGATGCTGCTGCTGCTGGTGGTGGTGTTGCAGTGTCGTCGTCGTCGGCGGCGACGCGGCGCCACTCAACTCCGTCTTGGAGTCCCAGAAACTCTTGGTAGCCAGGAAGATGTTGTCCGAAGTTCTCGAGTCCGGCGAGAAGGTCCACTTCTTGCTCGGGTACTCGGTGCTGAGCGAGAACTGGCGCCTGGCCCGCGGGTAAGTCCTGGAGGGTTTGGCCGATGGGTCCGACAGCTGCGGGCAGGTCGTCTGGTGGACGTGGTGCTTATTCGTGTTGTTGTTGTCGTCCGCGGTCTTGTTGCTGGTGGTGTTGGTGCTGTTGTTACCACCACCACCACCCCCACCAACACCTCCTCTGGTGCTGGTGGGCGTGGAGCCCGTGCTGATGGTGCTGGTGCTGGTGATGGCGGGTTCGGGGGAATGGGACACGCCGGACCCGTCGGACCCGATGGAACTCACGGCAGAGTCGCCGTCGCTTTCTTCGCTGCACCCGACGCTGCTGGTCGACGACGGCGTCGCGATGCGCATATCACAGGCGCCTGGCTTGTGCCAGATGTTGTTGCTATTGTTGCTGCTGCTGGTGTTGTTATTGTTATTATTATTATAGTTGTTATTGGTCGTCGAAAAGGTGGTTCCGCTGCTGCTGCTGCTGCTGCTTGTGATGATGGACGATCGAGAGGCAGCGGTCGGTGCTGGGGCTCGCGGCGCCCACGGGGACGAGGACGACGAGGGCGGCGAAGATGGCGGTGCTGCCGACGGAGATGGCGCCACGGGGGGACTCGAGTACTGGAACACGGACAAGGACTTCCGCTTGAAGGCGGGCGAGTACTTGGGCAGACCCGCAGTGGCCGGGGAGGGCAGGCTGGCGTGTGCGGACGCCTCGAGGGCTGTCTTGTCGACCACCGCCGCCACCACCGCCGCCTGGCTGCTTTCCCTGTTGTTGTTGCTGCTGCTGCGGTGACTGGATACCGCTGTAAGACAGATGGGAGAGAGATTGAAATAATAATCAAGTCATACGTTGCTTGGCTCATCTCGATATGTTTCATCTTGCTTGAAGGATCGACTGACGGTCGACACATAAAGCGCAGCTCAACTGTACTTTAAAATAATTCCACCAGATTCTTTTTTTAATTTTTAAACCAGGGATGCACTTGTCGATCTGTGTCCACCATCAACAGCCAGCTCACTTCAATGCGATTTCATGTCCTCAGACTCTTCGCTAAATAACTACTGAGAAGAAGACAAGTTCCAAAATTCAAGAACCCTTCAAATTCATTTCATGCGTCGATGATTTATTTTCATCCGCCAAGAAATATGTTCTGCAATTTCAATCATCCCAGTGAGAAATTCTTGTCACTTGAAATTTCAGCCGCAGTTTAGTGCCATATTGTTTGTCCTGTCGCTTATTGTGGCAATAAATCGAGAGTATTGTACAAGAGGAAGGTTTGATTACGGATTTCCACTCGAGGCAAAATGAACTCGTTCACAGGGTTTATCGACCAGTGTATCTGTTTCATGAGAGAGAAACTTGAATGCGGCACAGTGTTTTATAATGTACAGTATTTTAATAGATTCGAAAAGACGAAATTCATTGGATTTTTACTCATTTTGTGTCCAGTAAAAGGACAGAGCTGTTTTTTTTTAGAAGTTCGGACAGCATCATCACCCACGTTTCCAGCCAGGAAACTTCATCGCTGAGAAATGTGCTCGACAGTTTACAGTTCAGTACGACGACTGACAAGCCAAAATGGACAACGAACCTGAGGTGAATGCAGACAAGGGCTTGTTGTTGTTGTTGTTTGTGCTGCTGGTGTTGCTCGTGTTGAGGTCGGGGATGACGAGGCCGCGCAGTTTGAGCCCACTCTTGCGGCGCTCCTCGATCATAGCCAGGAGAGAGGACTGGCGGTCCTGGTCCGCCGCGGGCTTGTTGGTCGGCGAGGCGCCGGCGTAGAACGGACTGTTGAGGATCGTCTGTCCGATCCGCCGCAACGACAGCGATGATGACGACGACGACGACGACGACGAAGACGTCTTCTTCCCGTCGCCTGTCGACACCAGTAACAAGAGACGCGTCATTAACTCGTCCCTTTTCTTCACAACAAGAGTACTGTAGATAGATCATCGCTCACGATGACGAACCAGATTGAATTCAACAATTTATTCATATGGTTTGTGCTTCTTCGCAGCATTATGATCTCACCAATAATAAAAGAGTCCACGTTAGGATTGGACGCGTCTATCGACCAGAGAAGAAAAAAATTGAACGGGCTTCGGTGAATCAACATCCTTTAATCCTCGTCTTGCTGGTCATAATTGAAAACTTGAAAAGAGCATTATGGCACAGGTCGAGCAGAAATTTACATTTCGTGTCAGAAATGAAAGGGCTGCATTGTAACTGATTCCACGATAGGAATATCTTCAGGAAAATTACAGCTTCGAACGGAAAAATGAATGGAAAATTGGAGTTTTTCAATACAATTTTCAATCAATATGGTCTTATGTCTCAATCTCCATGACCTTTCCGAAACTATTCCCCGAACACATGAGAAAGAGGCTTTCTCGTGTCTGCGTTCCGATTCGGTTATCAGTTACAGGGTGTAAGAAATGTTCTCGGAATATTCAACAATCTTTGGCACAAATGAAAAAATCAGCACTGTTCGACACATTTTTCGTAACAGTGTTGCAAAAGGCAACCTGGCACCTCCCTGAACAAAAGTGTAGGCGCCAATCTGGAAGATTTTTGGCGTACCCCAGCATTTTCTTGAGAATTTTTGAAATAGACACGCCATTCATTCCAAGCGTTTCCCTTAGTAATTCATCATCAACTCCGCCATTTCCTTCCACCCTTGGTGAACGTTTGGGAATTAAAATGGAAGATTTACTAGAGGGAACCCTTGGAGGGATTTCAAAAATGTTCCGAAGCTGAGCTAAATCAACAAATTAGATGGGCACCTGCGAGATGGGATCTTCAGAGTAAAGAGCAGAGAGCTGCTAGGGTGATTACCTCTGTGAGAGAAAAAAAAGTCAGGGAGGGCTCATTTTTTCCTTGCTTTTTTTTTGTGTGCCAAAGAATGTTTTGGGGGGGGGGGAGTAATTTTTTTTCAGCTCTATCATATGCCGTTCAAATTTCTAGCCCGAGAATTTTTATTCGACCCCTCGTATCTGAGTTGAAAATTCATTTTTGAGAGGGTGAGTGAAAGTACGCAACACTTTCATAGCATCACGCATGCTTTCATTAGTACAGTAGTTTTCCCACAAACTCCGATTTGCTCCTAAATTTTTCTTATATTTTGCCGAAGGGAGACAGATTTGTATTTTGAAGGTACGTCGACCAAATTTACAAAACAAAACGCGTGGGATTCCGCAAACTGACAAAATCAGAAAGCGTTAAGCGCCGTAAGAAGTCTTCGAATTGCGACAAAACCTAGAAGGTATATTAATTACTTCCCTGATGTGAAATACAGTACATACTCTAATTCTTTTGAAGGCGGTAAGCGGAGATATGGTATGGAATCTAACGCAGATGGGAATCAAAAAATATGAAAATCATCGCATAAGATGATGGAGGCATCAATAAATGCCCCCGATTCATTCGATCCCAGCAGCAAACATCAACCTCATCAGCGCAGAAATATGTACTGCACAGTGCTGTACAGTAGGGCTGTAGTTCCAATCAAGGTGTGAGTTACACAACAACAACAACACTGTACAACTCACTCGATGAAGGGGTGAGCGGCAAGGGTCGGATCAGAGTGGACGGGTTGGCTTCCTCGCGGCGAGTTGTCGCTGAGTGCTCTCGGGGCATCTCCGACTGCTTCCTCAAGGTTCCCACATGGTCTGCGAAGCACAAAGCAACAGGAGAGACGGCATAAATCAGCGGAATTGCACCAGAAGGCGCCGACGCTGGTCGGGGCATTTAAAAATCATATGGCCGAAAGCCACGATTCGTAATTGCATGGCGAGACTTCGTCCATCATCACGTGTATATAATATGCAGCAGACAGAGACAGAGAGACAGGATGCTGCTGATGAAAATTCGACCGCCTCATCAGCATTAGTTGTCTGCATCCATCAAATGCGAGCGAATACTTCAGGTACCTACTTGTACAATTGTCTCTATATATCGCGCAAATCATATGCAGTATTACGTGCGGGATTTGCTTGTTTTGATCAGACGTGTATTAAAATCGTTAACCAAGGGAACAACTACTCGCTATCATTCAAACGGAAAGGGACTGAGGCCTGACAAGAAAGCCTGGATTTCACGGCACTGTACTGTACTACACTGTACATCAATAACAAAAATGCAAGATTCCGATTTCGAAATTATATCCCGTAGGAGGATGGATGAAGGTGATTTTGTGGCGGAAAAATGTTGGAGGTACGATTTCATGAAGCCAGCAATATCAAAAGCATCACTACTGATACACCATGGATATATTTCTCTTTGTGAATGAATGAATGAACAGAACGCTTCATTTGCCGCTTTTCAGCATTCATAAAGTTCAATCAAGATGTCAACATCCAAACCCCCCTCCTCACCAAACCCGAAACCACTGGTTGCTCTTCGGCACACAAAAATGTTCATGGACCGAACCGAATTTCTTGCAAGGAATCCTCGACTCCTTTGCGTTTCAATGAAGAATAAAATGCCAATTTCGAGGAAAGAACATTGAAGGAATGAAACATGTCACGAACGGCTCACAGGCCATGGATGCCTGTCACGCTCTACAGTGACATCGAAATTTTCTGATTCTGTGTCTCCATTCCTGAGACACTGTCGTATTCACAAAAAAAAAAAACAGTAAGTCAGAGGGATTAACCTCTTGACTGTCTAGAGAGAAAATGCAGTTTATTTCTGCACTCGGAACGTCTGAATATAAATTGAACGCGGAAGTAATTCCCGAATATCCTAGAGGCAAGCAAATGCAGCGAAGTCCATTCATTGGTGTCAAGGTAAAACAAACAAACGTCAACAATTTGAACTTTCATTACTTGAACCTCCCTAAGTCAAATACAGTACTGTGAAGTCAAATACAGTACTGTACCTCCCTTTGCCGAATTCTTCTCCAAGTCCTTCTGCATCTCCCCATCTTCCCTTTAAAACACTAATGAAAAAATCAGCAAACTCAAGGGCTTTCCCTCTCAAACTTTTAAAACTTGAATGTTTCGGAGGCCTTTTGGCTCTTATTTTATAGACACCAGAACTAGAAAAGCAACAAAAAAAGGTCAACTTGCTTTGCTTTGAGAGGAAGTGGAAGACTAATCGGGCAAATGAACCCTTGCCTCCAAGTTCAGCATCCACCCATCCACACATTTAAGAATCAATTTAAAGCCCAGAACCTGATTCCAAATGTGATTCCACATTTCCTACACACACACACACACTAAATGGCTTGGAACCTCCACTAGGGATGCTACAGTTACAGGAATGGAAATTTATTCCTTTCGTCGAGTTAAATTAGCAAGCAATCATGATTTTAAAATAGATATAGGTGAGCGGATTTCAGGCGCACCGAAGCATGGAATAGCGTGAGGCGGCGATGGCGGGAATTTCTTAATCAGACTCAGTCTAGTACAATTTCCTAGTACGTCTCATCAGCTGCAAATCACCAGGAGCTGCAGCAATGTATGGTACAGTACACTTGGTTCCGAATAATGCAAGCAAGCCAGTCTCGGTCAGGTTAATTCCTTCTCCAGCACCAAGAACAAAGACAGAAGGAAAAAATTACGCGGGTCTCCGGTTGATGGATTACGACGGGGCCATCGTGAAATATTCTCCGGACACGAAGACCTGCGCGTTATTAGCCTCGTCTGCCAGAGACATCCAATTAGGAAATACTCGTTCCTTTTCTCCATGGGACACAAAGAGGATGTCACCGTAAATTACATTTCAAGCATTCCGTCCGAAGAACAAGCTCTCGAAGAAACGCTGACGGCGTCATAACCCATATACAACAAGAAAGAAAAAAAAAGGTATCTTTTATGATTGAATGAGAATTTTCATCATCGGGGTTTTGCCTGGAGCTAAGATCCTTTCGCAATTGCCGAGTGCTTATGGCAGTACTGCACAGTACTTGCATCCTCATAAATTTTTACTAAACCGTACCCGAACCCCTTCATATTCGACATATCGATGCCAACTGAACTTGGACCCGCTGCCGGAGGATAACTACCGAACGAAAAATGGACCCGGGGACGGAGTAAAAAAAAGGGACCCAAGACAAATCGTCCCAAAGGGAAAACGGGGACGTTTAGTAACAAGTCGACTAGACTGGTCTCACATTCTTAGAACTATTTCATTCTTTCAAAATACAGTTTAGGAACATGGCGTTCCTTTTGAATATTGGATAGAATATTGCGTTCCAGCTAGAGTGTTGCTTTTAAGAAGCACTGCAATTGGCATATACATTATCTTCAACAACAAAAATAAGCACTCAACAGTCCCAATTTGCCTTTAGTAAATATAAACTTTTGAAAAAGATATCAAATGAAACTGAAAAAGTCTGCGCTGACAATGCATCAAGATACAAATATTTTTCCGACGTTTCTTTAGAAGGGGAAATTTTATTTTTTAAATTCAGATATTGCTTGAAGAAATTGAGCTACTTTACAATCACAGGGAATGAAAATAAAGCAAACAAAAAATTTACTCAAATGTATAATCAAAGACAGGCCAATTCAGGGCTTCTTTTTTTTTAAGGGTTCTTTCATAAGGTGAGAGGAGCACTGTACTGTGTAGCCAGACATGTTCATGTTCTTCGCCTCTTTTGATGACAAAATTATGATTTTGCGTGGTTTTATCTTCCGCGCATTAATTTTCTGCAGCTTGAAAGTTGATGGGAAAAAATGTTCTTGGGGAATTATACTTAAATAATCAAGTTGCCATTGAATTCTATGGGAAAACGTGATCCAACATGGGGTCACTCTAACGTAATGGGGATAAGGTACAACACCAATTACGTCCGCATCTCGGGGTCTCACAGCACTTCCCCAGCCGGGTGCATTTACGTAGGGCACCAATTATTTTAAAGCCCTCGGACAAACTGCAGGCGGATAGGGATATAAAAATATTGAAATACTGTACAATGGTGCCGACAGAAAATCGTCGACTAGTCAGAACGACTCGGGAATACAGTACTGTACTTCAGAACGAATATAAAATTCTTGGACGAACAATCGCTGTACAGTGAATGGTTCTCCAATGAGGAGTCGATTCCTCGCATCTTTTGTCCAGATTAAAAAAAAAAAAAAAGGCGTCAACTTTCGTCACACGGACACAGACACACACGCCAAACGTTCATCAGGGAAAGGAGAGAGAAACGTGGGCCGCAGGAATAATGAATCATCATGACACGGCGTTGCGCATGGTCGAAGGAAACCCGTGTTCTCTGAATGGCCTTGGCATTCATTCATCTGCTGGTCGTCGCGAGTCCCCGACGGGTTCCATTTGTTCCAAGGCGTCGGTTCAGTACCGCGGGCGAACAAAACCCGCAGTTGCGTGGGCGACCACTGATGACGACGACGACGACGATGAGTGACGAACAAAGGCGGCGCAGGAACGCAAACGCGGACGCCCAGCTTCTAAACGAAATCATCCTGCTGTGCTGTTCGCTGGCTGGCTGTCAGGCGGCCATCGACATCTCTTGCTCTGACGGATCAATAACTCGCATCAGCATCAGCCTTTGTTCCATTTCCAGGTTATTGACGAAGCTATTAATCCGTACAGGAGACAGCCACAAAACTGCTCAATAAGAGTTCCAGCAGGTTTACATTTAAATATTCAATCGAACTTCGATGAAAAACCAATGAAGTTGACAAAACCAGCACTTTTATTCATGGGATAAAAAAAATATGGATTCAGGAAATTGGTAACATATACTGGGCCTTAAATTGCTTCATGAATGAACAAGAAGATGAACGGGGAGGCAAGGGATCATTCGCCTAATTAGTGTTCCACCTTTTAATAAAACACACCAAAATATATTTTCTGTGATTTCTCTCTTTCTTGTGTCAATAAAATACCGTCAAACCTCTGTGAGTCTAAGTTCAAGGGACCAGCAAACAAATTTGAATTAAGGAGATATTCAGTTTGGGAGTTTTGAGTTATGGGAAAAGCTATATTTTTGGTCTGGGAAACGTGGGGAATTGCAGGAAATTGTAAATGATGATCTATCAGGGGCCGTAAATTCCTTCTGAAATAAGTTGAAAAAATGCTCAACTTGGAGGAAGGGGTTGACTTGTCCAATTTAGTCTTTCACTTTCTCTCGAAACAGGTGAAGTTACTGCTTTTCTTTTTCCTGTGTCAAGAAAAATAATAGACAAATGACCTCAGAAAATTCAGGTAACGGATGATTTAGAGGAAAAACCTTCAAGTTGGAGAGGTTTTATTGCATTGTTCCCAACGGAATTCAGACAGGGACTTGCAAGACGAAAAAATAAACTATCTTCCGGGAGGTATTCCACTTAGGGAGGTTTGCGTCATGAAGGTTCAACTGTAATGGGCAAAACACCTTAAGAAAATTCATTTTATGGAGGATTGAGTGCGGGAAGCCTTTGGGTTAGAAAGAAACAATAATCTATCTATACAATCCTCTTTCGAGCGACATCTTCACACCATTAAAAAAAACTCGTCATTTCCATGGATGCGATTGGCCAGTTCATTCCATGGGGTACTACAGGTCCTTTATTACGATTTTGAGGTATAGTAAAGCGATTCGCGGATATTCGAAAATGCACCCTCGTGCATTAAAATACACAGTCTTTGACTAAGAGAAGATCGAATCCATCCGAGTTCCATTCCAGAGCAATTAATGTGTTGACAGTGTATGACAGAA